ACTCTTCAGACATTTTCTAAGAGGAATTCTTAATTAATAGATCTGTTTCTAGGCTTAATAATTTTGAGCATCTTTGCTATAGGTTTAGAACAGGGGTGCTCAACTTCCAGCCAGATCCAGCCTGTGGAACCATGGCATCCGGCCTATGGGACTTTGCATGTGTCAGGAAATCTGGCAGCAGGGAAGCAGTGGCAGCCATCCTCCTCTGGTACCAAATTCCCAAACCAGAAGCCCTGCACTGGGTCAAGGCCAATTCATACTCCCTCTACCACATGGGGACATGGGGCTGGGTTAGGGCTGGGCCAGCCCCCTCCCCCCCCAGGAGCCTTGGTTGTGGCTCAGTCAAGCCCTCATCCTTTCTGCAGGGTTGGGTGGGACTGCATGAGGGCCCCCCCACATGGGGCTGGGATGGGGCTGTGTCAAGCCCCCTTCACCCTTGAAGCTGGGTTAGGGCTGGGCTGCCCTCTGCGCATCTGGATGAGATCCTGCCATGTCCACTCCAGGCACTGGGTCATGGCCACCAGCCAGGTCTGGCCTATGTAGGGACCAGGCTCTGGCCTTCTGGGAAAAAGTTTGAGCACCACTGGTCTAGAAGAAGGAGCCAACTATTCAGTTTCAGCACAGATGAGTGGAAGTCTACATCTAGGAAGGTGATCTATCAAAATAGGTTGGCTCTCAATTGTGTGCATCATAAACATGTGCAGGCTATACAAACTTCTTGTTTAAATACAAATAATACGTGCAAACAGTCATTTAAAATAAGGCCACTTGACTTAGCATTCTGAGTTGAACAGTATAATGCAATGCTTTTTAAGTGGCGACCCATAGGCTGCATGTGGCCCCTGGATGGTTATTGTGTAACTCCTGGGCTGCCATCCCACTGCCATTCTGCCTCTCTGTTTGCTCCTGCTGCTGTAGCCAGGAATGGACTGGACTGACCAAGCTGTGTCTGCAGCAGAAAAGGGAGGTAGCCTGCACTGCAGGGGAGCGTAATGAGGTCAGGCCAGAGCTTTTGATAAGACCTTGGCATCTGCTGATTTTGGTTTCCTGCTCATGATTCTGGTTTGACCTTTGGATCTGGCTTTTGCTCCCAGTTAACCCTTGGCTTACCTTGTCTCTGGCTTCAGCTTCAGACCCCTTGTCCTGACTTCAGCTGTGACTTCCGGATCCAGTTCCAATTCCAGAACCCTCCAGATACAGTCTCTGGGGAACTGGCCTGGACTACAGTCAGGGTAACTAACCCCCAAGGCTAGACAGCCCATGCTCCAGTGCATAACATGGGTGGGGGAAACAGGGAGTGTCAGACTGTACGTGTCGGGGGAGTTGGGTTGCTCAGCTCTCCCCCAGCTCCACCTCTTTCCAGTCCATGAGTACAGCAGCTCCATCCCGCCTGGCCACATAGGTGGGCCAGGATGTCTGTGCTATGGAGCTGCCCAAGCTGCATATGTGGCAGGGAGGGCACTGGGCAACCTGGCCTCCCTCTCATTACTGCTTGTGCTGCATTTTCTTCTCTCAGCCATGGTCACCATGCAGGGGGAGCCAGACTTCCTGTGCTGAGGGGTGGGGGATTGCTGCCTGTTTAGCATGTATGGCTAGCAGAGGGCAGAGCCAGGCTGCCTAATTGTGCAAGTAGTACAGGTAGCTCCATAGTACAGGTAACCTGGCTCCCTGCTTCTCCCAAGTGCATGTGCTACACAGGTAGCAAACCATGCAGAGGAGTTAGGCTGCCTGTTGCTGGGAGGGGAGG